CACACACACACACACACACACACACGTCTGTGGCCAAATAACACCACAACACGCCATGACTCTTCCTCTTTTCTCCACCTGTGTTATTCACTTTCACACACAAACACACGTGCGCGTACGCACACACACATTCACAGCAAGCGGTTCAGACAGGCCCAGTAAATCAGCATGCCTGTAAGTACGTCTCATTGACCCCTCAGCATCCAATAGTGCCTAGATCTCTCTGGATCACCCAGTCGATATATCAATATCCATCTTGTGTTTCTTGTTTTAAGACCCCCACTCCTGCGCCAACACGCCCCACTCTCTYCTCACTGAATGTCAAACGGAGATTGGACTCATCAATTTCAGGAGTGTGCGTGTGAGCGCACACCGAGCTTCCTTGCTGCTGTCTATATGAGTAAGCATGACACACATACTCATAAAAACACAAAGACTGATGCACATTCTCTCTCACACACACAGACACACACAAACATAAATAACCCTCTGCTCCCATGAGAAAAGTGGGTCACGAACAGAACGAGGGGAGATTGCCAAAAGAATCCAATAGAAGAGTTCATACATACAAAAATCCATAAACTAAAGATCAGCTGGTCGGCGTACACCTGTCAGCTCGAATAGTCTTTCAAGTCAGAGCGTCGCTGCTCTGCTGGAGCCACGCGTGGGGATGTCAGGGTAATTCAGTGGCTCGCTGTGCTRAGCAGCCATGCGGCAACGCTGCAGCCAAATGGACGACATACAGATTTAAGCAATGATTACTCTTTCTGTTAGCACCTGAAATGATGTGTGCTGGAGCTGATTAGCCGAGTCAATACATCTGGCAGGTGCACAAACTCTTGTTCGTTTTGCAGCAACTCAGCACACATGCACACACAATCGCGCAAACACACAAAAGAAAACAAGTGCAGTAAGAGAGGCCAAATAATCCACTTTGTCAGGCCTCCAAATTCTGCTTGGCAAAGCGCTCCCATCACAGGTCAGCGCAGACGTTTGGGCACCTTGAAGGATTCCACTCGACTGACACGTTCACATTTCAGATAGCTGAGCTTTTCCATCAGAACTGAAGAATTTTGTCTCACTGACACAACAAGCTTTGGTGCAATGTAACACTTAAGTATTATTCATAGCTTCGTATAATTTTGTAAGGATTCACTCGAATYGGGGAAGTGTTTTAATCGAAGGTAATTAAAAACAAAAATTTTTCAAGGCTAAGTATTTCTTTGCTTCTATACTGCACTGAATCAATGTTGAAAAATCAATCTCCCCTTTTATTCTGCTCCCAACAGCCAAAGCAATGCAGCCAAGGATCAAGGACAGAGCACATGGGATTGTATCTCACCTCTGGCAGTGGCATGCCGTTGATGATGAGGTCTGGCTGCTGGTGACCCTGCCCTGTGAATGGGTGCTGATAGCCGTGGTTGGGAGCGGCATTGCGTGAGTTCTGGTTCTCCACGTTGAGGAAGGTGCTCTCGGAGCGCCTGCAGCCCAGCGGCAGGCTCTGCTGGTGGTAGTCGAAGTAGTTGAGCGAGGAGGTGAGAGATGAGCAACTCACCACATTCATCTTGTCCGTCTCCTCTACGTCTCGCGGCACCAGGCGGATGTCGTTCTTGCTTAGTTTCTTCTTCTTGCTGGACTTCTTCTGGTTGCCGTATGAGTACTCTGCCACCCTGCGCAAGTAGAAGAAACTGAACAGACTCAATAAAGCAGTGTTCTGTCTTCCCACTCCCTTACCGCACGGTCAAAAAGCTTCACCCGTCATGCCAGCCCGGGTGCTTTTCAACCATGGGCGCCGGACAGAGGGTCATCACCCCTGTCCKGGTGTGGAGCAGCCCACCTAAACGTCCGTGCCCACCTTGCAGTGGAGCTACCTTCCCCCGTTTGTTTGCATTTGCATGCTCAACAATCAACTTGTCACAAACAGGCCAACAAAATGCAAACATGCCAAAACCACAAGAGCAAAACAAAAGAGCACACTGATGCTGAGCAGTACTGCCGGTGTATGCAATCATATTCAAAACACAGAGCCTACACTAATTCCATTTTTCCCCCACTTCTCTTTCTTTGTTTAGCAAGGAAGTCCACAAGCAAGACCGAAAGCAAGAGAACTGCAGATTCAGATTCATTTAGCTGCTCTCAGAGACTTCGGGAAACTTGAGCCGAGTATTTTGATTTTAATAAGAGCAAATGAGCAACGTAGCCATGTTTTATCAAAGGATCCTCAGACTGGGGAAAATATTCACTCTTTGCACAGCCTTGCAGATTTTTTTTTATTTATTTATTTATTTAGGGAGTAACAAATGCTGAGGATTCTACAAACCTTAAGTAACATATTTTATATCCTGAGAGGTGTTTATTTTATTTTATTTTTCTGAAACCATCTCTACTGTTTCAAACTTTGGTAGGTAAAATCTAATCTTGTTGGACAGAGCATACAGTTTCTGGAATATGTCTGACTGTTTCTGGTCTTTCATTAAATATATGCAAAGGCTCACTGGCTTCTATTTTGAACTGAAATACAGCATCAATCCTTTGCTATTTACAAATTGTGTTTGTCTTTTTTTAATTTATGTTCTTGAATCTTAAAAGCAGCCTCTGTCCATAATCTCCTCACCACAGATTCAGTGCAAACTAAATGGACAATATTCCAACTAACCTCACCCCCCTYCCCCAAAAATAATGATAATAATAATAATTTTAACATGTTGTCTCTCAGCTTTTTGCCCAAACTGAGATCTGGGAAGAGAAAACTTCAGAGTCTGGCAGGCTGACAGAGGACAGGAAATAAATTGGAGATAACTGCTCCTCATATTTGAGGTGGTGACTGAGAAGCAGAGCACATCAGTGCTGATTAAAGCTCCCAGCAGGAACACACACTCACAATGGGGAGAGGAAAGTACTGGGAGTAGTTTGAAATGTTGGATCTGTTGTTGACTGTCATCGTTTCTTTCTCTGCACCAAATGCATGAGAGACATTCAAAGCAGGGCAAATGTTTTAATCAAGATGCCCCTTATTAAATTTCCTCACTTTTTAAAGTCAAGGTCAAATAAAATAACATTTGAGGAAGTATTTTTAGGCAGACAGGAAATGTGAGCTTATTATATCAATCCTAAGGAGAGAAGAAGCAATGACTTCTGATTGTAAGCACAGAAATACATAATTTTCCTAACTAACCTATGCAATTGGCATAAAAATATCTTAAAAGAACACTTCTGAGGAAAGACTTCTCCATATTGAGGAAATGTCAGTACTTTTTTCATGACCACTACTGCTTAAAAATGAAGTTAACCTCAAATCAACAAAATTACGTGAGGAATAAAATATGATTATAGCTTCAGGTTAAATTCGGAAATTCAATCTATATGTAAATTTTACAGTGGTGATGTGGCACAAGCTGGGAAACCAAAGGCAGAACTGATGCTCAGATTGATGGAGAAAACAGAAAATCTAGGACATATTAATCTGCTTTTATCTATAAACCTGCTGTAACAGTTCATGGCATTGATGTAACTGATAGTATATCTTCTAAAGTACAGTCTTAATGTGTCTTTTCCTCTGGTTTGGATGAAAACAGAGGGAAATCTGAATGATCCTAGAGGACTGTCCATAATCACACTAGATTAAAGCTGATCAYAGCCAATCAGCCACGGTGGACGTTAAATAATAAATGTCTGGGACTGCCATTGAGTCAGTTGGGACGTTAATTGTCCGGCAACACATCCGCAAATTGAACATGACAGCTGAACCGTCGTATTTATGAGTCAAATGGTTACAATGGGAGGATTAAATCCATCAATCAGTGTTTCCCTAACAGAACAGTGGGCCTCAGCAGAATGGCTCTGATTTAAAGCAGTCGGGTTCATTTAAGTCTGCCTCTGCTGTGGAGCTGTGAGGCAAGGGGTGGGGTGCTGGGGGTCTGCAGTCCTCATTCAAGGCCTCTACATGCTGCATGATAAAAGCAATGCAGATACAGGCACACAAACGCTCGCGCGCACTCTCTCACACACACACACAGTGGATTCAATCAGTACCTGCAGTTATATGTCCGGATCTCCTTGTTGTCCCTCTTGCACTTGACCGCCACAAAAATCATGGTGATGAAGAGGATCGCTGCGATGGAGCCCAGGGCGATGATGAAGATGAGAGACAGGTTGACAGGTCCAATGGTCTCCTGCGCRTTCAGGTCCGGCGAGAGGTACACCACGATGTAGGCCGAGGCGGAGAGGGAGGGCTTGCCGTGGTCCCGCGCCACCACGGTGATCTCGTACGTGGATTTGGCGTTTTCCCCAAACATCCGGGTGGAGCGCACCTCTCCGTTCACCTGGTCTATTTCAAAGAAAGCCCTGTCCCCCTCCGAGATGGTGTAGGTCAGCCGCCCATTCTCGCCCTCATCGTAATCATCAGCCTTTACCTGGGTCACCATGTAACCCACTCCTGCGTTTCTTGGAATGGAGACCTCCGCTGTCCCGTTAACCAGTGGGGGGTTTGTCATGACAGGTGTGTTGTCGTTCACATCCAGCACCACGATGCGCACAGTGGCGTTACTGGACAGGGAAGGGTTGCCATTGTCTCTTGCTAAAACTTTAAAATCAAAAGTCCTTGTGTATTCGTGATCAAATGATCTCATGGAGTAAATGCGCCCTGATGGGTTTATGCTGACATACGTGTTTACATCCATGTGTTTAATCTCACCAGGGACTATGGAGTATGAAACTGTACCATTCATGCCCAGATCTGGGTCCTCTGCTGAAACTGCCAGCAGACATGAACCAGGGAGGTTGTTTTCCATCACCATCTCCTGGTAGTGTGCTTTCACAAAGTGGGGCGGGTTGTCGTTTTCATCTGTGACTTTGACAACAAGAGATTTTGTGGCACGTAATGGGGGGCTGCCGCTGTCCTCAGCCTGGATGGTCAGGTTGTATGTGTCCTTCTGCTCTCTGTCCAGCCTGCCGTCGACGAGTATGGTGGAGAAGCTCTCGTACTCTTGCAGTCTAAACGGAACGTTGCCCTGCAGCCTGCACTGCACTTTGCCGTTTGCCCCAGAGTCCTTATCAGACACCCTCACCAGCGCAATGACGTACCCACGCTGCGCGTTCTCACTCACTTCCACCATTTCTGTGTTCAGTGAGAGCAAACTGATCACAGGTGGGTTGTCGTTTGTGTCCATCACGTTCACTGTCACTTTGCAGTGAGCTGGGATGGAGTTGGGACCTAAATCTTTGGCCTGTACATCAATCTCATAAATTTGCGTGGCCTCATAATCCAAAATCCCATTGACTGTGATGATGCCCGTTCTGGGGTCAATTTTGAAAGCCTCCCTGGTTTTCTCAGTGACGTAACTGTTGAAGGAGTACACAATCTCTCCATTAGTCCCCTCATCAGGATCCGTCGCATTCAGGTCAATGACTAATGTATTGATGGGGGAATTCTCCATGACATTAACGGTGTACACCGGTTCATCAAACACAGGGTTGTTGTCATTAGAATCAATGACTTTAATGTTTAACTGGACCGCACCTATCTTAGGAGGGTCTCCTCCATCCTCTGCACTGATTTCATATGTGTAATGAGACTGGGTCTCTCTGTCTAAGGATTTTTGCACAACAAGCTCAGCAATTTTAGACCCATCTCCTCTGGTTTTTATTTCTAGTCCGAACAGCTCGTTTGGGGTGATGGAATAAGACTGCACTCCAAAAATCCCCGAGTCCGGATCGCTTGCCCCCTCTAGGGGAAACCTGGTACCAGGGGAAGCATTTTCTGAAATCTCTAAGTCAATGTGGCTCGTTGGAAACCTGGGCGCGTTGTCGTTCAAATCCTCGATCTCAACTTTAATGACGCAGATCTCCATGGAGTTTGACATCACTTCGAGGGAAATAATGCACTTTGGGGTTTGTCGGCACACCACATCCCGATCTATTTTCATTTGGGTCGTAAGGATTCCAGCCGGGCTGAGTTCCACCCATCTTGGCTCTGAATTGGAAATAACCCTTAAATAAGGGGGCGACGGTGCAATTTGAAATCCTTGCTTGAGCGCGTCCTTTGTCACGTTCCCAATCACCGAACCGGGCTTCATCTCCTCGTTTATTCCATATTTCAGGTTGATAACAGCCTCAGTCCCGACCCAGAATAAAAAGAAAACAGCAGTTAATTGTATTAATTCCATCTCCTTGGTTTGTCTGGTACCTGTTGAGTTTTTCTGTGCCTATAAATAACAATAAAAAAAAAAGAAAAATCTGGATAATTACGACCAAAATACGCACGTCAAAAATAACGGGGGAAAATATGCAAACGAATCATCGCATTAAAAATGTCTATTAAAAAGTATTTGAGCTGGTGACAGTTTTTTTTTTTTCAGATTAAATCATGATCTGAGATCTAATATTCTAACAAGTGCCCCAGCTTATTTCACTCTTCTCAGGCAGAGSACATCCTCCGGGCTGCTGCGGCGGGAGAAACACTGAGGACGACAGGTTTGTGAAAACATGCTGAATCTCCTCACAGTTGTGGTTTAGCCGTTTAAATCCGTGCGGCTCTTAACAAGCAGCAAACTGGTCTCACGCATGATGGAGAGTCCATTTCCAAGTCAGAGGAAATGAGGGAGGGGGGAAAAAGGAACTGCATAGACTCAGAATGTGAATTCCTGTGAGCAAGTCCACAAAAATCTGTATCTTCCGTGCAGATGAAGTGATGAAGCTCGAAAGTCTGGGGATTTCACCGCCCTGGTGATAATCAATATTTAAGTCGCCTTTTGGATAAAATAGCTTGTTTATTTCAAGCGCTGATTAAATTTCATCTTCAGTCGACAGATGGGGGGGTTTGAAAAGCTAATGAAGAAAGAAGAAAAAAGAACTGCAGACAAAAATAAATTTAAAAAAAATCAACAGCCTGAGTCCTCTTTGCGTAAAAGATGGGGCGCAGTTGCGCGTCTTATCACATCACTTATGTCCCGATTACCTTTCTGTTTCCAGCAGATTTAAAGTCTCTGGTCCCCTCCGCAAGTCTTCAAGCTTTCACTYACTAATTAATTCCCTCGTAGCTCACTTGGAACGGCTTAACATATCCCAGTTAGTAGTCCATGTAACACAGAGAGAAATCCGAAGCCATTGGGATGAAATGATGCCAGAGCCTTACTGTATGTTCATCTCACACTGAGCTGCAGCAAACTGAAGCACACAGTAGCCTATATCCAGCCTGGCTGAGACAGAAGGGAGAGGAGGTGGGGGAAAAATCCCAGTCGTTGCCAGTTGCTGTCTAGTTGACTCCAACATGCGCTCCTCTCGCTCCACTGGTGCACACTGGCAGACGCGCAGCTCCGAGCCGATCGCTCAGTCTCAGGACCCGCAATCCCCTCAGCCAATCAGGGGTTACACAGGAGGGCCCGGAGCTCCGGGTGGGCGGGGCGAGGCGAGGCGGAGGAAACGCGGCCAACTACCTGTTCTGCAAATGGGCGACTCAACCGGCGATTATGGCGCGCGCAGCTGAAAACAGGACGCGGAGGGTTTGTTGATCAGGGTCGCTTCTAAAAGCACAGTCTGGCGTGAGGGGTGGGGTTCTCATGGGAGGGAGGAGGGTGGGGGAAGACACTGGGAAAGGGGTCCCATGGGTGCCACAGAAAAAACAAGAGCAACTTTTTTTTTCTTGCAGGGATTCTCCAACTCGGAAGCACTCGTGTTTCTGCTTTTGCAGCTTTTGCGCAGAGCAGACAGCCCCGCGTGCTTTTTGTTATTCATGCATTCATTCATCCTGCATTAAAAAAAGGAACTGCACATCCTGCCTTGGTTGTTGGAAAAGTTTTACCTCTCAACCAAAATATTTATTATTGGATAAAAAAAAATCCGAGGCAATCTTCTTTCTTTCATGTTTTTCCCCCTTTCCTTTCTGTTCAACATGTTGAACAGAACGAAAACCGTTTCTTTCCTCCCTTACCGCACATTTCTAACTCAAGTGARGGCCTGTTGATTTGCAGCTATCATGTTACATCATTGACACCCCGACATGGCCGGCTCTCACGCGTTTAATGCGCATTAGCTTCATCCATAAACTCCAGCTAACGAATAACTGCTCAGATTTTCCACGTGAAGTCAAATTGGGAGGAGGTATATGGCCAGGAGGCAAATCAATAATAAAGCAGTTTTTTAAGTAGATGACGTCACAAAATAGGCATCTGGGGAAGTTTTTTTTCCCCCCTTTAATTAAATGTTGCCAAATTTTAAAGAGGATGAAACAAGAAATAATAATAAGGACAGACAACCTGTTTAATTGAAGATATAATTAGCTTGTATTACATGAAGACAAATATGCTTCACCATATGAGGAGCTATGGTRATTGGTGAACAATGAGGCGGCTGCTGACCTCCAGTCTGCCGCTCACCATCATCATAATAAAAGGAGCAACGCATCAATTATGTCATTATTCAWAGCGCCTCTTTTCTCTCATCTCCGTGTAATTCAGGGCGACGTTAGGAGGGCTCCTTAATGTGAACAATTCAACCCCCCCCCCCCCATACACACACACACACAAACTTTCCACGACAGCCCACTCAGAGGAGGAATAAAAACAGGACTGAATATGAAGTTCCTCTGTGCCCATATTGCAGACTGTCATCACCCTCCATGAGCTCTCTCTCTCTCTCTCTCTCTCTCTCTCTCTCTCTCGGGGGAAGGAAGGCCGATTTCAAAGTCACAAGGGTGACACCTAGCGGCCACTTTTTATTCTCTTCATCCTAGTTTTTGTCCCCACTCCAACTGCACCCCCCCGGCCGCCCCCCCCCCCCCACACACACACACACGCTAGAAAAATAATAGCACACTGCAAGAATATTAATAAAACACACCAGCATATCAATTTCCTCTCTTTATTGGAGTAGAAGCCATCAGTTTGACCACTATTAATATTCTGCTCATGACGTGAGTTTGAGCTCAGAGCCACACAATCTATCACTCCTAATCAATAGTGATTGAACGCTAAATGGAAATTAGAATTAGATTATAGTTGTGCAATATGGAGATGTTATTTACCTGTGAAAAATTATTTGATGTAAATGCTTGTGCTGTGTCAGTTTGATAAACTCTTGGGGTAAATGTGGGCGCTTTTTTTTTTGTGGACATAAAATGGAGATGAATAGATGCATGTGGACACTTTGTGRAATTAAACCCAGMATTCCTTGAAGGAATGCATATCTCTGCCTCGTGATTTTAGATTAAGATCATCYAATGKTGAGATATGACAGTTGTAGCAAWTTTGGTCAAACCTTAAAGAGCCTGTGACCTCACCTGTATATTCTTTAAATACAAAAAGTCAAAGAAATCATCTTTGTATTKAAGGTACTTGGTATAATACTCATATATTTATCCGTTTTGACACATAACTGATGTGTTCTTTTGAACTTGACTCAGACAAATTGAAACAGGAAGTGACAAAAGGGGAACTCTTTAYGAAACGAAACTCCCTGGTTTTGTTTAATGAAATATTATTTAAACATTGACTTTTCTTCATCTGTCTCTGATGGTGACTCAAAATAATCTAAAGCAACATCAAATTCCTCTCTACAGTCTGTGTTGTCAATCACTGAATGCTCTGTTCACATTCAGACATTCCTCTTTGACTTCCTGTTACTGCACATGCAAATAACTGTTCATCTCAGCAGCACGATTTTGTTTTTGCARTATGTTCAGTAATCTTTCCAAAAACGCATTCATATTTATTACAAAATTTGGATGTCACTGGCACTGGTACTTTTGTGTTTGCTTAGTTTGCTTCTCTGTGGGAGCCATCTCAAATGGAGCTGACTCCAAAACCTAATCAGTTTTAAATGTACATCCAATGGTTAAAACTTGAGATTCATCAAAGTCCATCTAGTTTTCAAATTATTTTGCTAACGGCACAGAAAAATGAACACACACACACAGACAGAAGCAAAAACATTGTCCTTTTTCCATCAGTGGCAGATGATAATGTCTTAAAGGTCACTGTAAATACTGTAAATAAATTATTTGTCAACAATTGTTAAATAAGCAGAGTTGTAAAGTAACTAAGTACAAATACTTTGTTACTGTACTAAGTAGAATTTTTGGGTATCTGTACTTTACTTCAGTAATTATTTTTCAGCCTACTTTTTACTTCAACTTCTTACATTTTCACACAATTATCTACTTTCTACTCCTTACATTAAAAAAAAGGCAAGAAGTAAAAAGTYGTTATTTTTTATTTCATTTTTGCTTGTTTTCATTCCAGCTTGTTATTTAAAAAAATAAATACTATCCATATAAATTGTGCCTCCTAGATAGAGTGAATTTAAATGTGGCTGAATGAAAAGTATAAATATATAAAACTCTGATACCGTATTAGTTTGTACACAGTTCAGGTCACACTCCAGCAGGGCATAATCATTAAAATAAAAGGACTGTACTTAAGAAGTATTTATATTTCATGAATTATATTATTGCATTTGTCCACAGCCGTAGGATAGATTTTCATTTTGGGGAAAAGGTTTGGGCAGCCTTGATATACAGTATGTATATAAACTGAAACTGCTCGACTAGTGAATCCTAAATTTAAAATAAATTAAAAATTATTTTAATACAATATAGTCATTTCTGATTTTTTTTTKGGGGGGGGGAGGTCGCCTCCTAATAAATAACATTACTAAAATCTAACTGCTCATTTTAAATCAATACCTTTACTTTTAATACTTAAGTACAAAAATAGCAGATACTTTAAGATTTTTACTCAAGTAATATAAGGAGACTTCAACTTTTACCAAATTAATTTTTTGTTAAGGTGCTTGTACTTTTACTCAAGTTTCGCTTTGAGGTACTTTATACAACACTGTGTAAGTCGTCATCAAGTTGTGTGGAAAATGAAACTCCAAAAACCTCCTCAAAGACCCCCAGAATGTATTGATGCCTCGGTGAAAATGTGTCCTCTTTTCTTGCGTTCTGCAGTCACATCTTGACAAACAGGCAAGTATCAACAAAGCAACGTGTTTGCTCTGCCACAACACTTYCTGAGACATGTTGCAGCCGTGCGAGGAGGGTGCCAGAAGAAACTTTAAGCTCATAAATTCTTAATGTCAGCAAGTTAAATATCCGTAGGCAGTAGCAGGGGACTTTTCTTATCCTCAGGGCTTTCTCGTGGCCATGTGTACACCAGAGTGCATTGTTAACTCTGTGTTACTCTCAGTTTGAAATGATGTTACACAGGCTTGCATCGCCTGCTTGACTGTGTGAACAGGTGGCATGATGCGTGAACAACAGAATTAGGCACATCATTGTGATTTTCTGTGATTTGACTGTCTTTGCTGAAGTTTTCAGTTTCAAGGGGTTAAAAAGCTAGTTTAACTGTTTTGAAATAGAGTTTTGTGGACTGCTAAAGCTTTTCCTGTTGGAAATAAATTATTGAACAGTTTCAGTTAGGAAAAGTAAAATTTAATTATGATGGATTGACAAACCAACAGGCAATTTCATAATGGCTCATGAAAATAAGCTTTTTTCCCCACAACATCATGGTTTGCATTAGATAGTCATCCATCCATCCATCCATCCATCCATCCATCCATCCATCCATCCATCCATCCATCCATCC